ATAAGAGAACCGTATTTCACCAGTATGGACGCGCAGGGTCATCACTCTTGTCCATAAAGGAGGTAGCCGCAGTGATCCTGCAAACAACCGTCCAATAACACTACTTCCCGTGTTATTCAAAGTGATGGAATCAATCATCGCAGATGCGCTGATGCCGTATCTAGAAAGCCACAACTTAATAGCTCCAGAGCAACATGGCTTTCGTCCAAAGCATTCGTGTAATATGAACCAATTAATTGCACGTAGTAGCTGGACTGAAGCTGTTGATGGTGGAGTTGGAGTCGATGTCATCTAACTGGACTTTACAAAAACGTTTGATCGCTTAGACTATCGAATTCTCCTTCGGAAGCTTCAGAACTACGGCATTGGCGACCTAATCCTGAGTTGGATTAGCAATTTTCTACAGGAACCACGGTTAGTTTTGGGAGTCCGAAAATCATTGTCTGATGCGATCGATGTGGCGTGTGGAGTACCACAAGGCTCGGTTCTTGGACCTCGTCTATTATTTTTGTTCATTAGCGATTTGGCGAGATCAAGTGCTTCCGATTTCCTATTTTTCGTTGATGATATCAAGGTATGGTGAAGGATCAGAGGACCGGACGACCATGAACGGCTCCAGTGCGATCTTAACAGTGTCGAACTGGTCAGTTCAAAACGCCCTACCATTCAACGTAGACCAGTGTCGCGTTTTACAATTACGCCATAGACATAACTACACCTATTTGCTTGGGACAAACGGATTGTAGACTAGCTCCCATGAATGTGACCTTGGTGTGATCGTACAGGGAGACCTCAACTGTTCAAAACCGGCTGAAGTAGTTGCAAAAGAGGCAACCTGCACGTCGGCATGCTGCGAAGGGCATTCGGGAGAGTTGACCCGTCAATCTTCCCAATGATGCACTATTCCTACGTGCGCCCACGTGCTGAATACGCAATCCAAGCTTGGCACACTTGGTTGAAGCGCGACCTAGAAGCGTTAGATGCACTACAACGAAGAGCAACAAAGAATGTAAAGCGCCTGCGCTATCACTCTTACCACCGAAGTTGCTGGGAGTTTTCAGCGGACGCTATCGAAGGCTGCGCGGCGATCTCCTATTAGCGTATCAGATACTGAGTGACCCCAACCACGTATGCCGCCATTTGCTGAAACTTAGCCACAATACGCAGCTCAGGGGTAACTGCGTAAATTGAAGAAACAATATAGTCGTCTAGAGTGTCGACGGAATTACTTTTCCTTTCGGGTTTGCCAACCCTGAAACACTCCCAGACTCAGCTGTATCCTCTCTTACCTTGGACGTTTTCATAAAACGATTAGATGTTGCGCTTTGCTCCCAGCATTTTGTTATCTAAACTCCTCTATTGTGGATTATTCCAAGCATGCTTTTCAACAGGATTTACATATCAAATGGAACAAAGTGAGCGACCATATTTTACTTTTCTCACGCTTTACATCAACTATCACTGCACCGCAGTGTCCTTCTGAAGGTTTACGCTCGATGTTTTCTTAATTTTCCACTGATGTAATTTATCAAAGTATACATCTAGGCAGACTTTCGGTAGATGACCCAGATATATTTTGATTTCATCATATTCACCGCAACCATCTTATGGGACGTGTCAAGCACTTGCTTTTATCCCGTGATAAATCATTGTTCATTGTTCATCTTCAAACTTCTGTTTGTGTCACATGTGCCCTCCATCCTCGAGTGTGGTTTGCCTGCAGGTTACTCACGTACGAACTTCGAGTGTCTTCAGCTTGACAAAGTTCAGAGGCGAGGTTCAAAGTCAATCCTGTGCTTCGAAACTTGTCTTCTTCTAATGGACTCCAGCGTATGAATCTGTTATCTCTCGGCTACCGTCGTCGTGAAGATCTGAGTTACACAAGACGCATACTCAGTGGCGACTTGGGTAGTGAGCTGCAACAATTCTGCCAGCTCAACAAAAATAACTCAACGCACGGTCACTGCTGGGAACTCTTTAAACCGAGGAGGCTCTACATGCTTCCAGAGATCACACTATTCACCCGAGCAGTGAACGACTGGAACAAATTACCGGAGGATGTGGTCTGTGCTTCTATTGAGGAATGATTCAAAAAGCTGTTGGATTCATACCTACTTAATATGTCGGAGTTTTGCTGTTATCTGTGGACTGTGCTCACCTACTGTGACATCATCTTGCCCTATAATACGCACCATCTTCACAATGATCGAGAAGTGGTGAAACTGACCAGGATTATCCCATCTGTTTTCTACTGTTCAACGGATTCGATGTATTGTACTTTGATTAGTATCTAAACAAACCAAACTATTTGCTGGACCTAGGTTTGACTGCATGTAGATGGAACACCCATTATGTTTCGAAAGCCTATACGGCTTACCACAAATTGATGTATGTACCCAAAGTCACTAGCTAAATCCTCATCCAATGCAATCATGGCCACGTGTGATATTAAACAACCTTGTAAATGTAGTATATCAAACCAATTATTTGGCCATTGTTGTCCCCCTTATGGTTGGCCGAATCTTGTCTACCACAGAACTGTCTTAACGTCAAGTTCATCGTGCGGTTGGCAACCCTCTACCCAGTAACTGAGTACAAACAATTTCTAATATTATCAAACAAACTAACTATTTCGTGCGATACCGATTAATTTCTATCCATTCCGATCATTGCCTTTTGTTTGCTCTAGTTCCACCTGGTACGCGCTTAACCGTTACAAATTTCAAGTTTCCGTTAGTGCTGTCCTTGTACCAGTCCGCCTCTCTGCAAAGTTAACCCGAAGAAACGGTCCGTTTTCTTAGTATCTACGATTGCACCATGGAGTATTGGAAGGAAGGAGTTTGGCTTCCATATCGTATTCCCAATGCCTCCACTATATTACGTTGGCCATGTGAATACTGTTCTCATCCAACCAGGTGAACATATAATGCATGGTGAAGTTTAAGATGTTTTTCCAAGAAGGATCGTGAACAGATCGTTACTTTTTCAGAGTGACTGAACTTGATCTAAAGCCATACAGTTTTTATGCAGTGTTGAACCTGGTGAAATCGAATAAAACAGATGACAAGCATTTTGTGGAAATGTACCTGCGTTGCCTACCACATGAAATGTGCAAAATACTCTGCGTCGACACTTACTAGTTTCTTCCTCATTTAGCAGACTTAGTCGGTACGAGTTTGTAGTCGTAGTAGAATGTATCAGCTCTTGTCTACAACGAACGAACTCATAACTCAGCTACAAGAGCGGATTGCTGTTCAAACTCCATTAGCAGAAGAACTATGGTTTGGAGATTGAAAATTAGGTCCCGCTAGCAAAGTATAACGTCCCTTGAATGTTAGAAAGCACTCGCCGGTTTCCAACTTATGATGCAGACATTAACCTTTCTCTCGGACGAAAGTTGAAGGAACGAGTCGCCTGGTACGTAACAGCGCAGTTGACTCACACAGTGGCCCTTTCTTCGATATTCCTGCGGGAACGATGTGTGATATCTCGACGGTGCTGGGACCAAGCAGGGTTTACTGACATATTCAGCGCATACCTGATGTGATGGGAGCAGCTAATCGAAAGTAGGAGATGGATACTCAGGAAGACCTGGAGCAGACAGTTGTGCTTACAGATGCGGCTTCCCACTTATGCTACTCTGCTAGTTGTTTGATGCCTATTAGCTCTGCGACTGTGGTCTCTTTTTTGGTTCGGCAGAACCAATGTTTAGTAACTCCTTCGTTTCTGTGCAAAACAGCGATATCACTATGGACGCAACACAACGTATGACAAAGCGATGAGGTATCAGAGCATATGTCGGTTTTGGTCAACTTGATCTTCAGTTCCTTGAATAAATCACTTATTCCCGAGTGACCAATTCTTCGTTATGCCTTGTATTTCTTGTGTTGGGAGAACTGGGGAAGAAACAACGAGCAATGGCTGCAAAGAATTGCACTCGTGCGGCAATAGTTCAAAGCCTCGCTTCTTACTTTGTGGCACGCGACTACATCTCTGTATCAGATCCGTCCATTTGACTGTACCCCAACGCTTCCCTGGGTCTTCTCAATGTGGAATCTGGCACCCTTTGGCGTTTATGACTTTTAGGCGGCGCGTTCAGGTAAAGGTTTATGTTTTCATACCTTTCTTAACTTGTTAATCACACAGTGGATAGTTAGTTAAAGCTAAATTCTTTTGATTTAGACGTATCAGTGAACAGAGTGTGGCGGTTTGGGAGTTTTCACGCAATTAAGTGTTTAGGCTTCAGGCATGAGTGTCATGCCACTCTTTGGTTGAGAATGCTTTTACGTGCTCACTTCATAGGTGTTATTGGTCGTGCACCAGACTAGGAACACTCAGATGAACCAGTGCTCAAGATAACTGACTTTGTGCTTTTACGCCAAATGCTCTGTACAATCAGACTTATCACGTATGATGCTCACTAATTTTATTACGGAAGATCTTATAGTAAGAATTTATCTTTGAGATACTTTTATATTTCAGCATTCTTGTCAACGGTAAGTATCGTACCCAACTGTATTCGGGTCAATTTGGGAAACGATTCCACCCAACATGTCTAACGAACATGGTCTTTATTGAGCTATCCTATAGTACTTAGCAGTTGGCCTTTATCTGATATCGAGATTATACGAGTAGATTTACTCGGGACCCATAGTATAATGCTGCTATGGACTCATGAAACAATTGGTTAGTAAACGGTAAGTTGATCACGCAAAAAGTGATCAATTTAGATGAATTAAAAACTACTCACCTATTATCAGAATATAGTATAGAATATAGTAACAGACCTTAGCAATGTTCCGAGACAGCGTACTGTGGGATCAACTCACAACACTTATGAGATTCAGTGCACAAAAACACCTTACATATACTGTCTACAATGTGACCAGCGCTACGTTGTTAGAGAGAGCGAACCTGGTGATACAGTGGGGTTGGTAGTCACGAGGGGCTGTTGCGCCTTCTCCAACGGTTTGCCTGAATTATATCGTAAACATGCACACTTACACATTCAATTCGGCACACTTAAGCAACTGTACTGTTGAACTCACTACAGCTTCAATCACACGGGGAAACATTGGTCGACGGACCATAGGAGGTGATGTGGTAGGCGGTTGAATAGTTTTGAAATTTATCTCTCTCGAATTGATGGTTACTGAGCTTCTGAGTAAAAAATTGGATTCTTTGGTTCGAGCCTGTTGTTTCTCTGGAACCGATTGAACGACGTTCGGATAGGTGTTCACGCTGTCAAGCATGGGAGCAGTGTTAATATTTCCGTTTTCCATCGGAATCGACTGGCGTTCCAATGAACGTTCTCTCTTCGCTCGTTTCCTTTTGCTTAAAGACAAATTCATAAAGGCCTGTTTGATTGGAGTGCCAATCCAAACTGCACTGTCTTCGTCTGGTTTGGTTGGAGGTAACGGACTACGACTAACCAGCTCGATCTCGTCACTTTCATCGTCTCGTCTTGAGAGAACAGGTGACGCTTGGTAGCTGGTCGGGTAGGAGGCTAGTGATGGTTGTGGCGTGAAGGAACTCGTCCCAGGAGAAGTGTCCTCAAACACATGATTATAATTACATGGTTTTCGACTTCGTTGTACTTCATCGAGGAACAGGACGTTACGTCGATTGCCGACATCCATGGAACGGACCGAAGCATTTGCTACTAGCCTAGCGTTCACTTTTGCAACACCGGAATTTCGGGGTCCTGCCACAGTGGACCTTAGGTCAACCATTGAGGCTTCGCCTATGTCATGTTCGGCACACGGCTCTTTATTCTGGGTTCTGGACCGTAGTATTGACCTCCTAGGCTCCTGCGAATCTGAGTACTGGGAAAAAATGACAATGGCATATAAAATGAGAGGTATCCAGAATTAGTAGTTCACGGTAACCATGCCGAGCGAGTTTTCACTTGGTGTGTACATCACAGTCTTATGAAAGCAATGTTTCAAGTGCGATTTACTTACGCTTGTCGGCCAATCTACTTAGGGTAAGCCAGCACACTGAAATCGCACATCGGTTGCCACACCAGACTCATAAATGCCTGAACGGCTAATCTTCACTGCAATTATCTGCAAATAATGATTGTAAAGTAAAGCAGTTGCTCTCGTTTCATGAGAATGGAGAATGGAATGCACACCCACTCGAGCGTCCAGTACAAACAACAGTGAGCACCCGGCATTTATCAAAACAGATGAAAGAAATCTTTTAAGAGTAATGTCTAGAGTTCAATTTGTATTATGGATTTGTTCTCTGAAGTGACAACAACAAAGGCTTGCAATGGATATTATGGTCGGACGACCGTTTGTTTGAAAAATACAAAACCCCTGTGCTCACTATCTAAAAAAGCTATTGTGCAGTCTGGACGCATCCGAATAATGGATAATGTGAGTGAGGAGTGAAGACGTGTCTATCGACTCGTGTACTGTGGTCTGCAGATTTCCTCCTTTTACTGAACTCAGCCCCACAAGATGCTGAATACAGCTATTAACTCAGTGTACATGTTAGCTTTCCTTGTGGAATTCTACATTGAAACAGTTTGTCTGGACCTTGGACGCACACCCGGTACCACATTTATTCTCTCGCATATCTCAAGATCTAGCGACGTCAATTGCTTCCGATTTTCTACTCTTCGCAGATGATATTAGGAGGTAAAGAATGATCAGGGGACCGGACGACGAAGAGAAGCTCCAGCGCGATGTTAACACGATTTCGAATTAATCATTTCAGAATACTTTGCAAACAAATATAAAAAGGTCGGGTTGTACAATTATGCCATAGACATGACTAGGCCTATTTGCTTGGGACACACAGATTGCAGACCATCCCCCAGTAAAGCGACTTTGTTGTGGTCGTACACAGTGACCTCAACTGCTCAAAACTGGCTGAGGCAGTTGCGAAAAGTGCCAACAAGCACGTCGGCCTGCTGCAGAGTGCCTTCGGGAGCTTTGATTCCCCAATCTTCCTGGTGATACCCAATTCTTACGTGCAACCTCACCTTGAATACGCCTTCCAAGATTGGCAACCTTGGTTGAAGCGCGACCTCGATGTGCTTGAGACAAGTCACGCATGGAAACAGAGAACGTCAAGGGTCCATGCAATCACGTTTGCTAGCAAAGGCTGAAGTTGCTGGGAGTTTCCAGCAGACCCCAACGAGCGTTACGCGGCCATCTCATGTTAGTGCGCCATATGTTGCGTGACCCAAACGACGTATGCCGCCATTCGCCGAAACTCAGCCACGACAACCAGCTCAGAGATAATTGACTGAAGCTGAGCGGAAAATACAGCCTTCTTGGATGTCGACGGAATTACTCTTCTCGCTTGGTTCGTCAATGCTGGAACTCTCACCCAAACTCAGTTGTATCCTCCCGCACTTTGGACATTTTCAAGAAGCGATTGGATGTTCCTCCTAGCACCCAGAACTTTGCTATCCAAACTATGCTACTGTAGAATACCTCCATCGTAACCTCGTACCGGATTTATATGTCACATGGACCCGAGGAAGCGGTGCATGAATGAGCGACCACATTTTATTTTCTCACGCACTAGGTCAACTATCACTGCGCCCCATGTTTTTCCGTATGCTCGCTATATGCCGGCTTGAATGCCGAAGAAATTTCTTTACCCTCCGCCCTTGCCAGCCTCGGAAAGCCCTCCCTAATTATGTCATCTCTGCTCCCAATCTGGCGATATTTAAAAAAGGAGTTGACGATGCGTTGGCTCATTTGCAATTCCTTTTATCACTCGTTGGCCACGGGCTACAAAAAGCAATCGAACGGCTTCTTACCAAACTCCCAACAAATGGATGTATGGATTTATATTTTTAATACGCCAGCCTCTCCGTCATTCCACATAAGTCTATGGTGAGTCCACCAAAACACTTTTCACTTTATCATGGAAGTTTATTTTCTGAATAGTTTCCATCCCACAGGACTTGTTAGGAATTGCTTTTTTACCCGTGATACACCAATGTGCCACCATTGTTACATTGTTACATTGTTCATTTTACACTAGCGCTGTTCGGAACCGCAGTTAACTCCATAGACGCTTAGATAGATTATCACGTATAGCTTGATTTTGGACATTTCATCTTGCAGGACTTGTCAAAGATCTGCATTTTATCCGTAATAAGTCTTTGTTCATTGTTAATCCGCAACACACGCCGAGCAATTGTTCATCCAACAACTCTCACCGCGTCCAGTCGGCGATGTCGTTAACCAATATATGGTACAATTCCATTTTACCAAGAACATTTTGCTCTCCTCCAGTTCTTGCCCTAACCAACTCCCAGTGGTCGAAATCGGGGGTTAATTTTACCAGTAAGATCTGAACGCTTCGCTGCGTTTGTGTCCGTAACATCCGTAAAGGCTCTGTTTCATAACAGCTATCATGGCTCTCATCAGGAATGCGTAATAGTTTGTCATCACTTTCTGCTATAAGGCTTCCGTCAACTGAAGCAGTCAAGTATCCTCACTGTATTCGCAGAGCCAGGTTGAGAGTATCGAACAGATGTCACTTGGATGCAACGAGATCCTCCTTTAGATATATCGTCCTAGTATGACATTTAAAGTCCATGTACGTTTTCTTTCGTGTTGATCAGCCAGTTTACTTGAGCTACTAGTTTAGCACTACCCACAAATAATGTGTATAAGCGATAAACTGCTCCCGCTTCTGTACAGGCGTACTATGCTCACGATGCTCTAAAGACACTTACTTGCTTCTCATCGGCGAACACTTTGAGTGAGATTCCGCTCGATTATCAGCCACTCGCCTACCGCAGGGAATGTTGGTCGATTGCTCCATGAGAGGAAGCCAACTATGTGAGCTAATGCATACAGCGCACTGTCGACTTCAAAACCGAGGTTCACTGTTGTATACGAGGAGGATTAATGACCAGGCAAGGCGCATTAACGCACTTGTGATTGTGACAGAATTGAAATGGGAGATTCAGGAAGAATGCAACAACGCTGTAAAGTTATTTTGATTGGGTTGTACGCCGCACGTGCTCCCATATAATTAATTCTCACTGGAACATGGTATGTGCACTAAAAACAAACAACCGGAGGACCTTCCTTTAGTTGTAAATAATTTAAACTACTGGTAGCTCAGGTTTGCCGTTCGATTGCTTGTTGAACTAGGCAATTTGATTACAGAAGGTAAATCCGGGATGGGTTTTACCAGAATTCTGTGGTTTATTACCCTATTTTATTCAGTCTGGTTACATGTTCTATCACTGTTTGTCCTATGCAAGACATACAAAAAGGAAATCGAAGGCAAGGATACATGAACAAAAACCGTTACTCGAGAAACATTACGTAGTGATATGATGTGCAACAAATCGGAATAAATTAGGGTAATAACCAGGAGTGGTTTGTAAGAATATAGTGGTACCTGGCAAAAACCATCCCCAAATTTGCATTCTGTCATAATTTGCCACGATTCAGCTACCCCTCCTTCACCGATGAAGTCGCCTTGACTGATTAATTGCCCAATTCAGCCAGCAACTTAGCTAACAATTACCCTTTAATGTCCGAACTGGAAGCAACCAGTTTGCATTGTCGCCAGATTGTATTTCAGGTTTACTCGTTTTTCGGTCGTTTCTTATGGATACTTTGCTGCCTTGCGTTATTTGACTGATTGTTGTTAAGTCGCTTCCGAATTAAATACATTTCATACTCCACGGCGACGCGAGAATAGGTTCACTGTAAGTGACAGCTCAAATAACTAAATAATTTCATGCTATCGAATAATGGAACATCATTTTTCTTGTATGCATACAAGCACATTCTTGATTTGACTGGACCGAAGAAAATGGGCACGAATTCCATGTACGCCTGTATGCTTGTATGTGTGTGGGTGTGTGTGACACGAAGTAGTCTTGATTATAAGTCGGTTTTTAATCCATTCGATTCACCAGCGTTCTTCACCAACACATGACAGATGTTGGGTCAACTATAAAATGGAAGGAAAGAAGTTGCCGGGAAGTGCAGGTGTTCCGTTAACCTGGATGCATGTGCTTATTTACAGCTTTTAGTCAGGCGCTACCGTTATCATTTTTGAAGGGGTTGCCCGAAGATTAGTATCCTAAACAGACTAACTACGTTTTGAATGGTCAAATGCTCATAACTTGCAAGCATGAATTTATGCAGTGTGTAGTATCTCATCGATACATATAACTCACGGTAAGTAAATGTACCAGAGTGTACGCTCTATCGGGCTTAGAACCCTAGGTATTGAAAACAAGCCCGGACAGTGCATTGCGTAATCAACAACTAAGAAGACACGATATACATTGCGTGGCGACACGATGAGTTTGGTGCGTGTGTACGTGCATCCACGAATGTGTAATGTCCATCTATCTGAGTGGATTAGGGCTTGACTTACAGCGCCCTTGTGACAGTCCTGATATGTCTTGGAAGTCTACACCAGTGTACTGCATCGCATAAACGTGTTCTTTAATCTTCATGATGTATATCGGAGTCGTGACCTTTGATTAAGTGCTGCATGTTGCCCGCTCTCAACACTGCACGCGACGACCAGTGTTGTCTTCTTTTCCATTCAGTGGGATTGTGGCTGTAGCTTCAGTCCGTAACCACTAGGTTGCATTTTCTAGTTGCTGATGAGTGCAGATGGCGATGAAGCTGGTCGTGTAATGCGGATTTGCAAGCGAACAACACGTGTAGTAACTTCATCATTTTGCCACACAACCTTTGGCAGGACATCACCCTTAGTTAGCTAACATTTTTACCAGCTGTCTCGACCATGTTTTAAAAGTCCGGCCAACACATACTCGATCAATGGACTTTGAACAACTAACTACTGAGGTGTA